GCAAGCATTAGTTTATAGGTCACTTGCCAGAGAGTTTGTTTCAAATTCCAGCTTGTGAAAATTAATACAACAGTCTATTAGCAATGCAGTCTGAGATAATGGGTAAATATGTTAAAATTAGAATAGAAACAACTTCCACTGAAATATATCATGGATCTATTTGAATAATTGGATTGTAGTGTTTTATTTTAAAGATACTTTACAATGAGGTTTATGGAGCTGTGAAAAAAATCTTTATTGGCTTATAAAAGTGAAAATACTGTTCTAACCCCATGAGCATTGTGAAATGGTGAACAAAATAGGAACTGAAAATATCATGGTCACATTCAGCTTTCTGTAGAGTACGGGGGGAGACATCTTATGAAATTCCTACGTCAGGCACTACTTTTTCAGTTCACCTTTTCAAAGAACAAAATCTGTTGTTGAAAGGACAATTGTTGCTGTTATGCTTTGGCGCGCTTTTTCATTTTAAATTAAATTGTAGAGAAATTCTGAACACATATTTTGACTTTTGTATTTGGTTAAGAAATGAGAATAGCTGTTTGTCCTTACTGTGCTGCATGTTATGTCCTTTGCCAAAGAGTCGTGCATCCTTTTCGGCTCATGCCCTGACTCCTCAGTGGGACGGAATGTGTGTATTAGTGCTGACCCGCAGTAGTGATCGTGCATTAACTCATTTCAGTTTTGTTTACTAACTTGGAAATAATGATGAGGGAATTTTAGTTTGAGAAGGAACTGCCCTTGATGTTGCAAGATTTTTGGACTTAGTTCACTGGTAAATTATCATGTTTTGTTCTTTATAACAATTTGTGTCAAAATGCCCTCTTTTAACTGAAAAGCATGAAAAATTTTATTTTACTTGTCATGTAGGCATGTTCTAGACCTGTTTCTGCTAACATAAGTTCAAGTGTTTGGTATCAGCCTCACTGGGAGTAGGTTTTAATCACTCATGCATACCGTACGTGTCCTAGAAGTTAAACAGAAAAAATGTCAGGAACAAGTTTTCAACAAAGAGTGAATATTTCACCTATTCCATTTTGCCATAAGACATTCACGATGCCAAGGTGTTACTCCTGGTGAAAGTCAGCAACTTCACCCTTTATAGACTGTTCTAAAAGGGTTTTTATATTCTCCTGTGGTTAAAAATGTCCCACTGTAAGATGTAGGAAACCCCATTTATTTGGCATTTTTCTTTAAGTTGAAGTATTGGTTTTAATTTGGGTTATTTTTTTAAATATAAAGTATAATAAATAGAATTCTTTTGATTTCATTAAGAATTGGGGTTTTTCTATTTGAGAATTTGTTTACTGTTTTTAAAGCACTGTAATGGAGAAAAATTATTGCTTGAAAAAGGGATGTAAGAAGATAGAAAATGGCCTTATCACAGGTTTTTTTGTTTGTTTTTTTTTTAAATCTGGCATAGAAAGTTATGTCAGTTCTGTAGTTCAGAATTTAAATAGTATGCAAGAAGACTGTCAAGTAATTTTAATTTACTTGTGTTGGTATATAGTATTGAAGGTTTCAACAAAATTGTGACAAAGTTAAAATTTCATAAATGTAATTCATTTGGATTATTTGTAGTTACTGTGAAGTGTGTCATTTACAATTTTGTTAATTATTGATTAAAGTAACTTCCCTGTGAAATTTATCTGATAGTTTTCTACAAAATGCAAATCAGTGAATATTGCATTGCTACTGGAAAATCAGCTTTTTATTGCTTATTCATAGGTTTTTAAAAAAGACTTAATAATTACTTTTTAAAGTTTGCTATTACCAAAGATACTACTGTTGCCAAGCCTAAATAGATAACATTGACCCTGGTCTTAACTTTTTGGACAGTCTTGCTTCAAAAGACTTTTAGTCTCGTGTAAATTCACTTCTCAAATTCAAATAAACTGCTTGTGAGAATCTTTATTTTTGCTTTTAAAAATATTTACTGTGTATTTGGTAAACTTGGAGAGTCTTGAGTTTGTCATGAATATGTTTGAAAGTTGTGATCACAAAATAAAAGTAGGCAGCATGTTCTTAGCACGTTCTTGTAAAGAATAGCTCAAATGTTGTATGGTCTGCCACCCTTGTTGCTCTTAAAGTATTTTAGATTCAACTCTACAGATTTAATGAACTGTAGCAGTCTGTTGTAGAGAGTACCTGCAATGAGCTATTTTGATTAAGATCCTGGGTTTGCGAGCAAAGATCTCGGGATATAATGGGATTATTATATTCTGGCTTTGTGTTTTGAGAAATGTGCCTTTTTTCCACTGTAAACGGTATTCAGGGAAATTAATTCCCTTTGCTTGTTTAAGGAATAAGGTATAAGCAGCATTGGCAATTTAAAGATACGGGGAAATAAATACTAGAAGGCCTGTTTCCATAGTAGTGCGAACTGGGTGCCACTTGCAGGGTTTTGAAGAACAAAACTCAATACATGTGGGTGGTCGGATTTTCACGCTGAGCACTGTGAATTTCTCTCTCTTCCCTCTAAGTCCAGAGTTTCAAACTGGCTTTATTTGTTTTAAAAATTCTCCCAAATGCTAATTAGAAAGAGTCCCGTAGCATGGAGGATATTGAAATCACATAGATTTTGAGGTGTGTTCATTTGGGGGTTTGCCCCATTAATGCTTCGTTTTCTTCTTTGCAGGATTTTGCTTCCCGAGCTAAACTGGCTGTCCAGAACCTGGTGCAGAAGGTTGGGTTCTTCGGCATTTTGGCCTGCGCTTCGGTAAGTTCATTTCAGTAACAGAGGGGTTCATGATCACAAATTGCAGATTGAATGTACCGCAATGGAATTAACGCTGTGAAATGTGGCTTGGTTTTATTGGAGTCCGTACGGATCTTCAGGCCTTCTTTGCTATTTCTGTGTTCTCTGTGGTGCTCAGGGAAATGGCATGGCTGTGGTACTGGCAAGTACAATAGCATGGAGAAACTCCAGCCCTAGATTAGTAGCAAACGCAGTGAATTCTGCATAAAAGCACAGCGAAAAAAGCACAGTTCTATAGTTCAGCATGATGTGGCGAAACCTGATAAAAACAGGTCCGTTCACTAAAGATGGTAAAGGCTTGTCAGAGTAAGGAAGACTTAAACTACAAGAGACTGAGCTAAGACATTCTTAAAATTCAGGAAGTTTCTATGTTGCTGTTTCAGCCCAGGGATGCTCCCTGCATTTGATGTTGAGGCCGCGTCTTCTCTGCCACAGGCGTATGCACGCTGCTGCTCACTGCTCTGTTAGTGGATATTTGGCACATCAGATCGTATGCCCCACTGACAGTTATCCTGTTGGGAATTTCCTAGCCCAGATTATTAGCTGGCAAGTTAGAGCAAGAGCTGTGTTATTACCTGTAGATTCCGCTGGAACCATCTTGATAATTTCTTTAGGTGTTTATGTCCTATAGCTTACAGTGCTTGATGTCTTCAAAGATTTACACAGATTGAGAGTGGAAAACTACCTGTATAAATCCTGATTAGGATATCCATCCATAGTAATTCTCCGAAGTCTGCTCTGGAGATACCTTTGGGTCACTAGGATCCAGAGGGAGCAGAATGAGGAAGGCAGTTTCGGGGTCACGGCTATATGAACTACAAACTACTTGTAGGGTTTTTTTTCTCTCTAAGCAAGAGGTGATACAAGCATCTCCACCGATGCTATTTTAGTGTTTTATGGAGGATAATACTGTTCTTTTGGAGTAGAAAAATACTGACCCATTTGAGGTTTAAATCTCTCCCTGGAAACGTCATGAAAACTGGTAGGAATGGTGTGCCTTATTCTTCCATCCCCCACACAAAATGTGGGATGTGATGCACAGAAATGTGATTACAGTGACGGGGGGAAGTGTAGGTCCCCTATGATCCCATTCTTCTGGAATAACCACAGCCATCAGCCAGCTGCTCAGCTGATGAGGTGTTAATTCCACCCTTGTCTAGCATCTCTCTTAGTTTCCTAAATTGTAGAGATGACAATGCTAACTGCTCGCTCAAATATAAGTAACCTGTGTTAGCTGGAAAGAATTAATCTGATTATAGTTGCTGGCATACGACTTCTGTTTACTAATCTTTTGAACTGTCTTAATGTTTAGAGTGGAGATGTAGGTTACAAGCTGTTCTTTAAATCTTTCCACCCAGTAAGCTCTTCGGCTCCTTTGCTGCCTCTGAGTCATTACCCCTCTAGTCACCATCTTGTGAGGCAGCGCTGCATAGGCTATTTTGTCTGTCTTGTGTAATCAGAACAGCAGCTCGTAGATGGCAAGGATGAGTTACTGGAGTGGCTGGACAAGGTGAAGTGTGGATAAATGGAGAACATGAGGAAGGAGTTGGTAAACATGCGAGGTGATGTGTAAACTCGTCATAGTTCCTGCTTAGTAATACTTAAACATTTGCTTAACTTCTTGCCTGCTTGCTGCGCTGTTCTTCGATGTGCTCTGAGCTCCAGCTTCCTTTTGCTTATATAGGCCGCCCTGGGTCCGGGGAGGGATGAGGAATCATGAATCCACCACAGGACACTTGAGGATTTGTAAATGTGTTTACAGAAAAACTGCAGAGTAGCAGTAAAAAGGGCGAGGTTAAATGTGGCAGAGGCATTGAAAAAGCCTAGGGATTCAAAGCTATACATTTTTGTTGCGTCTGTAGCGGAGGAAGGCAGCCCCCCATGTCTGTTCCTTGCATTCGTGCGTTCCCCCATGAGCTTCAGGGCTTCGTTTCGGGGCTTCTCTTGCTTGTTGCTGCTTTTCCGTATGCTAGGAGGTGTCTCCTTTACTTGCCCTCCTTCTAACTGCAATCTTACTTTTGGATTTTAAACAGTATTTTGGTTGAATGTATTTTTCAAGATTTAGAGAACTTGCTTGTGAAATGGTAATGACTGTCCTAGTGCAGGTTGTTGTCTGTCCAGCAGTGGTTTCTAAATGCTCCATAAGAACACAATCAAATTGAATTTAAAACTTTGCAAGTTTATCCAGTGAAGTCAACCGAATGTAATGTTGTTTAGTGGCAATAAGAAAGCCATATTATTGTCTGGAGCTTAATTCCTAACTAAAGGCAGCTCTGGGGAAGGAACAAAGCAAGAATTAGCCCTGGAAGATCCTTGCTGTGACTTGTGAGAATTTGCCCTCCTGTCTTTGTGGGCTTTTTTGGCAGCTCTCAGCACTGCGCGCGTGCGTGTGTGTGTTTTAAAAAGCAAAGAGAAAACCTTGCTGGCCTGCTCATGTACCCTAATGTGGACTTGCTGAGTAACTTTTTACTGCGATATGTTTAATGTGCTGGTGATATCCACAGTTACCCATACCTAAAGCACGTTGCTCCCTCTATGCTCATATTAATGCAGTAATTAAATACTGTGAACTTACAAAAAAACTCAAGCCAACCGACAAAGAATGTGCTTGAGACCTAGAGCAGACTTGGCTCAGAAGAGCAAAATTATCTGGCTGTGGTATAAGTAAATAATTTACTAGCCTCCTATCCCTAAGACAGCTGTCAGAGGTAAAGAATCATTTTAGCTGAAGTGGAGCATGTTTAGAGACCGTTTCGGGGCATGATTAGAGACCGTTTCAGATTTCTTCCTATGCAGGTGGTGGTGTGGGTGCTCATAAATTTGAATTGCTAGTCTATAACAGCTAAGTATAACCCTCGTAAGCTTTCTCACAGCTTTCAGATTTCCATTCAGTCAGTTGCAAAGTTACTATCTCTTACGGTCTTTAACAATCTACGCTCTTTATTTATTTGTCTGTGTAACAAACCAACACAAATACTGCAGGATATTAGCCCAGTAACATACTGCTACTGTGAGTTAAACACATGCCATGAGTTTACTCAGACAGTCTGCCCTTGTACTGCATGCTAAGTGTGAAAGGTTGGAATTTGGATACTTTCTTGGTTTAATTTCAAAAATATTTTACAGATAGTATCACAATACCAAACGTCAAGCCAACAGTTTAACAATAAAAAAAAAAAAAATTTTAATTTTAAATGAAATGCATATGCTTAATAAAATCTAATCAGTGCTTTTAAACTGGATACATATGACTATAAATGCCAGTTTTTAATGTACTTTCTCTGATGGAAATCACTGGGGATCATTTTGAACACTAGCTTCCAAGAGCGATGTGCTTGTCAGTGAGAAAATTTGATAAATCACTCAAAATGGCTTTACTGTGGTTTCTGTGCATTTCACATGGAAAACTTTTTGTTAGCTTTTTTTAAAATCCAGGGGTAAGGAGGGACCATGAGAATGGAATTGTCTGGGACATTGTCTAGCTGAATCCCAGAGACTTAAGTTATGTGGTGCGACGTTAACATTTTTGTAAGTATTAAGACACAAGAGTTTTGGATCAAGTTGAATAAGGGGAAAATGTTCATTTTTCAAAGTTTCAAAGTCTGTTCATCTGTTCATCTAAGCAAGCGCTGCAACTCATGAACCTCTTTCACTTGCACTTCATAGATTCCAAACCCTCTGTTTGACCTGGCCGGGATAACATGTGGACACTTTCTGGTTCCCTTCTGGACCTTCTTTGGTGCAACCTTGATTGGGAAAGCAGTAATTAAAATGCACATCCAGGCAAGTATCACACCTCCCTTAAGGCTCTGGGGTGAAGACTTTTTTTTTTTTTTTGACTGTTACACTGTGTTACTTCGTAATGAATTCTGGAGTCTCCCTTCCTGACCTGAAGTAATGGAAATTAATTTGGTGCAAAGGATTTACAATAAAGGATCTGCTAGGCTTCTTATGCTCAAAACTTAGGCAACTGAATAATTTATAGCTACAAACTAATGAGCTCGCTGCCTACACCACTCAGGAAATTGGTGGTTAGCCAAGTTATTTACCTACGGTTTTTACCAGACTGAAAGGACTTCGTACTCATAATGAACTTGCCTTTTTGGTAACAAATACTCATTTCAAAGATCACTGCAACTAGCCTTTACCGGTTAAGCGGCACTTTTAAATGCTCCCCTTTATCTCAGTTGAGCGTGTAGAGAAAACCCGGGTCCTTTCAGGCCCTGCAGAAAGCAGTCTGAGGGTATGTCTCTGGGCACGTTGTCCATAGCTTTCAAGCACGGTTAGCAATTTTTGCTGTCCTCAGTCTATATTATTTTGAACGGGCCTGATTTCAGAGTGTGTCCAGGTTTTTTTTTTTTTTTGTTTTTTTTTTCTTGCTAACTCGGAGCCTCACCGGATGTTCTGAATTTGGCACTCAGAATCTCCAGTTGCTTTCAAAAGTTGTGAGTCTCGCTTTTAAAATGCGTCACCATTTTGTCCAATGAAAGATGAAGTATTGATTCCCTGGCGACTCCTTACCGGTGCCGGTGTGGTTAGTGCTGTATCGTCAGCTACACTGCCCTGTTTGTAATGATTAGAACCAATGTTTTCAGCTGGGGCTTGGGGGTTTTTTTTTAAGCATCTCCGTCGGACTGGGTGCAGTGCCTGTAGCTGTGTTGCTTGGAAATCTTTGCTGTCACTACACTAAAATAGCAGAAGCTATTAGTAGTAGTATAAAATTACTCGTCTAGTACCCTCATCGAGCTGCTTCAAAATCTTTCTTTTGCCCTGAACAGAGGATTTCAGTCCTCAACCCTTTTTTTTTTTTACCCATCTTTTTGTAAATGGTTATTTTACTTTGCCCAGTCCTTAAACAGAAAATAATAAATAGATCTGAAAATTCTTTCATTTACTGCAATAGCACAACTTTTTTCCACACTTATTTTTGTATTATCTGAATTTTTCTGCTTTTAAATCTGCGTACTGTTAGAATTTGTTCTGGCAACATAGAAAAGTGAAATAGTGTTTGTGTAATATTCGTTTTATTATTTTATTTGTCTTGTTTAGCTAGCAGAATGTTTGGTATGTAATTTATAGTGTTCCACACTCAGATCAAATGTAAGTGAAAAAATATTTCCCAGTGTCTTGTACAGTTGGTAAATCATCTTATTTTGTAATACGTTTAGCTTTTAGAATTCCCTTTTCTGCGATGCTTGATTTCAAGCATACTCTTGTGCAATAGCCTTGATTTCTGTAGCGATCTTGCTGCAATTTGGAATTTAGGAAATGTAAGAGTCACGGAAAGGGCTTTTAATGAAATCTTTCTCTAGACAGGAAGCGAGTGACTCTGGCACAGTGGCCATCCTGGAGCTGCTTTTAACTGGCCTCTTCCTCCAGACCACAAAATCATTTTGTGTAGTTCTAGTCACATCCCTTATGGCCAGACTAGTGAATGCAGTTCTCGTTAGATCATGTTTAAATTGTTTTAAGGAGACTGTGGGAACTGTTTGTGTGTGTATACGCATCTACACACAGTCTTGCTCGCTCTTTGCAAACGAACAAGCTGTCAAATCCGACAAAAGTGGGATTAGCAAAGGCTATTTCAACAAAATTTTTACTTCTGTTAGAAGAGAAGGGAGTGGTAAAATTATGGACATTTGGATGTTCTGCAAAGCAAGCTGTGTGTTTCCGAAGTTTATTTTATTTAAATTACTCTGTTCCAAATAGTCTGTTGCATTAGAGACAGTGACGATCTAAGTTTTTTGAACAGACAGGTACCCAGTGGCTCTTACTTTGTTCTTCACTCAGTACTTTTTGTTACGTTTCTGTCTGAAGCACATGAACGAGGGGACTAAAAGATACGTTTTCACTTCTGTGATCTTTAAGTACGTGTGTTTGTGTAAGGGGATGTGAATTTTTCTGCACGGTGATGACTTTTTCCATTAAAACATTGTTGACGGAGTAAAGTGACCTTGAGCTTCTGGGAATTTTAAGTTTGGGGAGGATGCGAATGGTTAGTAACACAGGCTACAAAAACATTGCAAGAAATGAAATCTATGAGGAAATAGAACAATAAAGTAAACAGCTTTTCTCCCTCCTGCCTCTTTTTGAAGAGTATTGAAAAATAAAGATCTTGAAAGAAAAGAGAAGGGAAAACTATGTGTGAGTGCTGGAGAAGCTGTCTGGTTGGAAAGGAACATAAATTGACGTACCCCATTGTCTCTGCTTCCCTTTTGATCGAATGTTTCTCTAACTGATGTTTTCCTTCCTACAGAAACTTTTCGTTATTATCACATTCAGCAAACATATAGTGGAGCAGATGGTGTCCCTAATTGGGTGAGTAATTCTTTAACACAGTAATAGCTTCACTCATTAAGTGGAAAAATACTGGAGGAGTCAAAGTAGATGTGCTGAAAATTGTGCTTTGCTTCGAAGTGCAAGCTTTGGCCAACACTTAATTTAGGTCTTATTTGCAACTTCATTCCTCACTTCAAGTACTTCAAGAAACATAATAGCACTGAAGGTCAGATGGCCTGAGTATATAGTACCAACAGTTAAGTTTTGTCCAGAAATACGATACGGCTCTTCCAATTATAGATTGCTACACTTTTAGCTACAAATAGACCGTATTTTTTTATGGACTTTCTTCAGTGTCGCAGTGTGATCCTATGACAAAAAAATGAAAGAACTGTTGTGACTTATGCAGTGTCCCAAGATGGCAATAAACATCTTCCATAATTGGAACTACTTTATACATTGAAAATATTAAATATCTCATAAAAGGTCAGAATGAGAAATTTGGTGTGTAGTGTTATATCTCCATTCTATTACACTTGGTTTTTCATAGGAGAAATGACAGTTTTCATGAGTAAACTGTTCCTGTTTTGAGAAAGTTTGGGGTTTTTTTTTTGACTGAGTTCTTTAGTAATTGACTACTATTTTAGGTGAAAATCTCAGTTTAAAACAAAATTAAGCAAAAATCCAGCTAACAACAGTTGGGAGCGGCTGGGGGGAAGACAATTAAAACAACATACTTACATGTTGCCTCAGTGGGTTTGAATGACGATTGGACACTGATGATGAAGTGTTAGGTTTTTGCCTCATATCTACCTGTTCAGTCATGAAATTCTGTGTAATTTTAAAATCCGTTGTTGATGTTAATGTTTCCTGCCTGGTAATCCAGCAAATAACATCACAACAGTGCCTCTGTAACCATGCAGAAGTTCCATAAACTGCTTAAATGCAAACCAAGTATGCAACTTAATTAATTTCAGTATAGGCAACTAGATCAAATCACATGGATTTCAATAAAAAGTTATGCTTAATTGTTCAAAGGAACAGTTGTGTTTTGGCTGGGGGGGAGCTACTGCCTGTTTTCAGTACACTGATCAGATTAACGTCAGGGATGCAGGTTTAAAGTTTTAAATATGAGTCTCTAACATTTGAATAGAAAGCTTTATGGTTGTGGGTTTTGGTTTGTTTGGTTTTTTAAACTACTTACCTCTTATGGATCCATAAAATAAACTCTAAGGTGGTTCTACTTCTCCAAGGTCTTTCACTTGTTATATGGGGCAAAATGATTGACACTTTGCTATCCCAACTGTAATAACTATTTTCACATAAAACCCAAAAAGCCACGCTCCTCAAGAACAGTTTCAGGGGAGGAATGTCTGGAAAGAATTCCTTTTAAAATATGTAAACTTGCAGTAGTAATGCTATACAAAGAAAAAGGAGTGTCAGTAGAAACATTCTAGGGCATTTCACTAATGAAACGAATCCTGACTTTATTACCTCCTGATCTTCTGATCGGGTGTCTGGTTTGTAACAACCTTCAAAATGAATTTGTTGCTTTGAACATTAAAAAAAAGAAATGTGGCTACTTTTAACCATCATTATTAGCTTGTCTTAGGATCAGTCACACCAGACAATTTACTACTAACTTTTGATCAGCACTGCTACTAGGTCAGGTATATTTCCAAAGATTTACTCTCCTGCAAATCTTTGAGCCAAAACTAGTAGTTTTTTCCTACTTCATCTGTCTTGGAGATAATTTTGCATCGGATTACTTCGAATGCATTCACAAGACCTCTGCTGGATTCAGATTTTATGAGATGGTTGATGTCAGAGTTAAAAAATGTTCTCGGGAGACAGTAAGATTTTTGGAATGTCCCGGTATCCTTGACTTTTCTCAAGCTGTCTGCTAGCATTACCTCATCAATTTCTTTTAGAGTGGTGTATAAAACATGTTAAACAATAGCTTGCATTAAATCCCTTATTATTAAATTAAAATATAGTTCCATTTAGTGGTCAGTAACTTTATTTTAATCAAGTTCTCTCCGACAAAATGACTTAAGACTTCTTTTGTCTGGGATATTGCTGTTACACAATAGGAAATGTCTAAGCACAATACTTTAAAATAATGAATGTACTAATATACAGGATAACTAAAATCTAGACAGAAGATTAAGTTATGAGATAAAGTCTGAGAATAGTTGATTTTATAAAGCCGGAGAGAATTTCTTGATAACTACATGAGTCTTAGTTAAAAAGCAAAAATGATTCACCTGCAGACCTTGCCCATAGCTCAACAGTTGTTTACTTCTGTTGCTGGATGCTGCTGGCATTGCACTTGAAGCCTGCCATAACCAGGCTGTTTGAAATATCATTCAGGGTAATTTGATTTTACAGTTTTGTCTAGGTCTCCCTTACAAAAGGATCATAAAGTACTCCTTTTGTTAATTAAATATAGAAAGAAAAGGAAAAGAAAATGTGGTAGGAAATTAAGCAGCTGGTTACAAAAAGAAATTTTGAAAGCATTGGGGGTAGCTAGCGTACGGACCGATGGCAGGTAAGGAGGATGGGTGTTGGCAGCAGCAAGGCACGTTAGAAGGAGCAAGGTCAGAGCCAGCTGAAGAGAAGGGGACATGGATGGAGTTAAGAAATGAAGCTAGCGAGAGCCTTGAAATCAAAGCTGAAGAGGATTACAAAGATACTGGTAGCTCACATGAGGCTGGTAATTATCAACCTGTTCTACCAGTTAATAGTTTAAAGTTGTATTATTGCTGTCTAAACTGCTAGAAGAGGATAATGTTTTCTCTCGGGTTGTATTATGTTCATAAGCTTTTGTGAGGAAAGATTGTGTGTAAGAGTTTTGTCTTGTATTCTGTCACTTAAAGAAGAGTTTAACGTACTGATCGTCCATGTAAAATACTTTGAAGTTGGTTTTTGGCCAAACCTAGCCCATTTAAAATGTTTAATTATCATGTGTGTTGTGGGTTTTCTTTTGACTCTTAAATCTTTCCATTTAATTTTTTTTTTTTTACCTGCAGCTGCAGGATTGTTTATGAAGTCACACTGAGCATATTGCTTTTAAGCACGATGATATCTTCTTTGAAGTGGCAGTTTCAAGTGCGGATTAAGAATTCCCAGAAAACTGCTAAAAGGAATAGTTCTCAAAGCACACAAAGCTTGTCTGCCATCAGTTCTGGGTGAATGTTCAGAAAGAAAAAAATTACTATTTTTCTTTTTGAAATTCAGCATGCGCTGATCATATTTTGTGCAAATGAGCTAATAACTTTAGAACTTCAATAGACATCTCAAAAATTCATAAACATGTTTTACATAGTATTAGACAGCACGTGGCCTTCACCACAGCAGCATCTGAACTTCAGCAGCAAACAGCACGGCTGCATCCCTTTGGGACAAATCCCACCCTTCGGGCAGAGAGATTCCCTCTGACTATTGTTAAGTTAATGATAAACTCAGGTAGGCTGCGGAAGGTCTTAATTACAGAGGCTGTGAGAGTTACTCAGAGGGGAGGCACGAACGCTGAGAAGTGCTCACGCGATACACCAGCTTTGCTGTCATCTTAGCCAAACGAGCGAACTGCTGCCCGCAGCAAATGATGCCGTGCTGATTTTAAGAGAAGTAGAGACTAATCTCCTCAGTTCGTGAACTGAGTCAATAAACTGATTTGAAGTTTAAATAGAAGCCAGTGAAATGCATGTGAAAACAAAAAAAAATGGCATACTTCCACAGGTTTTTTTTTAAAGTGAATTTGTTCGTGCCGTGTTCTGTGGGTGAGGTGGGTTAACTGTGTGAAGTGTAATTCAACAAACGCAGACCTGAAAAATCTACCCCAAAATAGCAGTGCTTCCGAAGGGTTTCCTAACCCGCTGGTTTTTGTGGAACGACTTTTCATGCTTCCCTACGCAGGCCAGTTTGAGTGATTGCGTGTCTTAAAGGAAAAACAGTTTTTTGGTAACAGGTACTTGAACCATAGCCTTGACAAACCAGTTTGCTGCTGTTTATTGTGCCATAATTCTTTGCTTCACAACTTAATCTCAGTTGATTCTTGTAAGGAGCGTGATGTTCCTTTCACGAAAGAAGTACAGGTGAAATCACGGTGACTGTTGTAACTGGAAACTTTGCCTAAAGATTGTGTATTTTTTTTCACAAAGAATTTACAGTATAGCTTTAGGTTGTTTCTTTAGAATGTAAGTCAAGAAGCTACAGTGATAGAAGGGGCTGCACCAGAAAGCGGTTGTCCTGGGGTGGGAAGAGCCCTTTTTTTGATTCACGTTGTGCCATGCGATTGCCTGGGTTTTTCGGGGGCCTTCAGCAGGGTATGACCCAAGGAGCCAGGCACCATCTGCCAGCCACACCTGCTGGCTTGGTGGACTTTGGTTTTGCACGTATGCCAGAAAGTCCGTATCCTGTTGAACTGGCGTCTTCATTAAAGGATATTTGGAAAAATAGGTTCCGATCGATAGTTAAAATCCAACCTGTGCAGTAGAATTCAGCCGAAAATAACCTGAAGTGGCTGAGAACATGGGTAACTGAGCAGTGACTTCAAAATCTCCCGAGAGAACTGCTTGGGGAAGGTTATACCAATCCACCTGACGCTTCGTGGTACAATAAATCGATGGCCCTCCTCCCACAAGTATATCGGAAACCTGTGGGACGGTGCCCTCCTAACACGCCCTGCAGACAATAGATCAGCTCTGCACAAAAAAGGCTTTAGCGTCTTGAAAGGGACGCAGATGCGGGTGAAATCTGAGTAGCTTTGGTGTTGAAAACCTTCCAGTGGATCACAACAGAATTACAAAAGTTTATTTGCAAAAGACTTGTAGGATTTAACTCTGAACAAGCAAGCTTTTTTTTCCTAAATTGTGTACAAAAATATATCTTTAAAATATAAATAGATGCTTCCTTACAAAGAGCAGTATTGAGCAGAGTTAAGAACCAGCAGTTCAGAGATGTTGCAATTCCTATTTTTGAAAGCATTGATTTTAACACAACAGAATGTCCCAAGAAAAAGAATGTTTTGCAGACAG